AAAGAGCTGCCGCGGTGCGTTTGGGAGCCAAGAGAGGATCCCAGGCTGACTCCAAAGTCCACCAGACTTGGGCTGGAGCTCGAAGGACCCTCCCCGCCCCCTGCCTCCTCAGCCTCTGTCTCACTTGTGGAAACGCGAAACCCCCTGGCACTGCTGAACTTCGCGGTGGACATGTACCTTCTGAGGCCTTCGGGACTTGGGCGGACAGCACCTGCGCATCAGAGTGGACACTTTCTAGTTAGAGTCAGGAGAGAGACCTGGACGCGGGCGACTCCGCCCTCACTCACTTCCTTGGCAGGACTTGCCTCCTCATCGTCTTCGCCCTGGGGCACCAGGAAAGTTTGTGGTTCTGAGACCACCCTTCCCTCCTTCCTGAGAAACCAACCGTTGTGTATCCATTCTGAGCATCACTTTCCACCAGGTTCCAGCCTCCATCCTGTTGGAGGGAGGAGGACAAAGTGGTGTGAACCAGTGGTTCTCAAAACTCCGCTGCATATTAGAGCCTCCTCTGGAGCTTTCAAACATCCCGCTCCCCGGGCACCACCCCAGACCAAACCAACTGCTTCAGAATCTCCCCGAAATGGGATACAAACATAAGAATTTTTTAAACTTCCAGTAGTGATTGCAGAAGGACTCAAGATTGAGAACCAGAGGACTGAAATACCAGCAGAGACTGGCTGAGGAAACAAATACTGTAGTACCTAGGCCTATTAGTTTGATGCCCAGAGGAGTAACTGTTATTGTCTTCACTTATACATTGTATGAAGAATGTATCCAGATTACTTATGATGTTTACTCAAGGAACTACTTGGAGAGAGTCGGGGACACAGAGCATGCTCTCCACTCCACTCTGGTGGTTTGTTCTCAATTCTTTCCACTAATGGAAAGATACCAAAGCAGGAATGACGCAAAAGGTGGACTATCCAAGCTTTAGTCGTTTTTTTTTCCCCTCTTGCATGTGTGTTCCAAAGTGAGTTTGTCCAATTAAACAATGAATGTATCTGAGAAGTCAACATGCCAAGATTTACACCAAGTTATGGATTCCAGTTAAGCCTTTGCATGAAACTCCTTTTCCCTGATGTTGCAACCCCACCTGCATGAAAATGAGCTGCCTGGCTGTTCTGTGGACCCATCCCGCACAGCATCCTCATAACCTGAGATGCACAACGCACTGTGCCAGAAGGGACATAGTGAGTAGTCGTTTATTTTATGGACTAGTTACAAAGATTAAAACGAAAACCGAGGTGGGAGGGCATAGCGCAATGTGCTTAGCATGCACGGGGTCCTGGGTTCAATCCCCTGAGTACCTCCTCTAAAAATAAAGAAACATAATTACCTCCCCTCCCCATACCAAAACAAACAGGAAAACCCAAATAAAATAAAATGCTGGCTTAAAAACAAAAATAAGACGAAAACCGTATTGGTGAAGCCCAGGGACAGAAGGTTGAGAAAACAAAGCAAGATGCAAGGGGATGCATACAGGAGGGCCCATTTCTATTAGTTCAGAAACAAGCAAAATCGCATCTATCACTAGGGAGAGATACATACATAGTAAAACTGTAAAGGAAGAAAGAAACACAAAATGCAGGATTGTGGTTATGGTGGAGAGGAGAGTTGGTGATTCTTTATACTTTTGCATCTATTATAAACATGTTTGTGTATCGATTTAATGAGAATCCTGGGGGATGTGAGAAGCCACAGGACAGAGGAGTGAGGAAAGCCAGGGCTGAGACAGCCGAACTCCTGCCAGTCCCCCTCTGGCCAGCTAAGGTGGCAGTGGTGCTGATGCTGGCCTCCTATGGGTCATCTTCCCCAAGAGGGTTGAGCATCCTGGAAAACAAGTCTCATTAGTCAGTCTCGTTGTGACAAGGCCGACTCTTCAGGGACTTGGAGATGCTACTGGGTGTCTATGGTTTGGTGCGTGGAGACAGTGTTTGACACCATGACTGGGGTATGCGTTAATCATGGTAGAAACTCACCAGGCAGCCAGGAGAAGCCAGGTGGCTCTTTAGAAACTCAGCCCAGAAATCTCCCTAACCAGATCACTGAGTTCGTAAAGTGCACTTCTTACTTTCTGTGGGAGATAAGAATTTTCTCCTGCATTGCAGGAGACGATGGTTACGGCACTGCCAAACTTTCCTGTATAACGGGAGTCTCCCTTCCTCTCGCTCTAGGAACGTTTTCCTCCATTCTCTTCCAAGGGCTCAGTGCCTAGAACAATGCCAGGCACAGAGTGGACACTCAGTAAATGTTTGTTGAGTAAAAGTGATTGGACTCAGTCACAGAGATGGGTCAAATAACAAAGGAAAATAAACCAGGGAAGGACTCTGAAATGGATTTAATATTTAAGAGAAGAGCCAAAGAAGGGGGAGGGTATAGCTCAAGTGGTAGAGCGCATGCTTAGCATGCAGGAGGGCCTGGGTTCAATCCCCAGTACTTTCTCCAAAAATAAATAAACCTAATTACCTTCCCCCTGCCAAAATAAAATAAATGATACAATAATAAATAAATAAAATAAGATAAATTAAAAAAGAGAGAGAAGGAGGTTGAAAGGGCAAGAAAGGAGGAGCAGGAAGGCAGAGTGTGGTGGTGTGGTTGCAAAAGGAAGACTGCATTTCCAGAGGGAGGCGTGGTCACAGGAGAGTTTGAGAGTGGTCAGATACGATCAGACTGGAGTGACTCTTTCAAGCTAGTGGAACAAAGGCTGCCAGTAGAACCCTCAAGTACAGTTGCACAGGTAGCACACTGCACAATGCCAGTGGGCACCATGCACATTGTGGACATTGCAGCTTGGTATGTTTGAGAGGCTCATATTCTGGCAGATGAATGCAAGTGTCTTGAAGGAGGGATTCGTTTTTCTAGTCCACACAAAAGTCTGTTATGGGTAGCCACCATCTTGGTAGGTGATGGGCCTAGTGAGAAGGCTTCAGTTTCAGTTTGGGACAGAGCATAAACTCGGCTTGTGGTGGGTGGAGGCGTAAATGAAAGGCAATAAGTGGTGCTTGAGAGAGTGTAGACCCTACCTTTTAAAAGTCTACCTGTCAGCGGAAGATGAGGGCGAGGGGCATGTGGGCAGAGAAGGCAAAACTGAAGGGGGAAGGGAAGAATCTGTAGGGCTTTTGTTTCCTTTAAATCACGTGGAAAAGGCTAGAACACGTTGAAATACTCAGGAAGGAGCCAGTAGAGAGGGAGAGGCTGCAAACACAGCAGAGAGAATGAGAGGGAGAGTGACAGAGGGAGAGAAGGATTACCCCTGAGTTAGATGAGAGGGTCATAAGGGCTCTGAGGAGGGACGCCTGCATGAATCAAAGCAGCCAGCACTCCAGAGAGCCGAAGCAGCCAGTGCAAAGGCCTTGAGGCAGGAAATAGCCTATGTGTTTAAGGAACAGGAAGAGCTACAAAATTTCAGTCAGAGGAACAGTCAGGCTAGACTAATTAGTAGGGTCCTGTGGTCCATGGTTTAAAAAAAAAAAAAAAAAAAAAGAAGGATTTCCCACTAGCCAAATCTCGGTCAACAGAAGCATTAAAGTAAGTAATAGCAGTAATGGGCTTAAATCCTTTGAATGAAATAAATTAAAAATTCATGGATCAAAAAAATTCATTGGTCTATGATGATTTAAAGAAGTAAGTAAACAAATAAACAAGCAGGGGAAGGGCTCTACCTTGTGGTAGCATGCCAGCTAAGCACAGAGGGAAAAACAGACTACACGGTCATCACTGGGGGCTACAACAATTGTGGAATTTGATGAGGGACAGGATATTTACCGAACCTCAAAGTCTCCACGGAAATTGCTTACATGGGATAAAAGAGTAACTTCACAGTAGAGAAAACTGGCCAGCTCCACCTTTAACCAAGTGGTCAGCTTCTATGTTACCAGTTGTGGGACACACATGCCTTCTTTAGCTGGAGTGAGGGGGCATTTAGTTAATTTAGGCGTCTTGAAAAAATATTTTGAAGTAGTTCCCAGACCTTGGGATTTCATAGATTAAAAACATTTTTACTGGTTTTGAAGTCTGACATAAAATTAACCAATTCTTCAAAAATTTTCCAAGTAAGGGCAAAAACTTACTGCCATATTCTCTTCCTATTTCATCTTTATTTAATTTATTTTAATTCATCTTATTCACTTTAATTTAATCAATTCATTTATTGAATAATTAATGCATTCACATGATTCAAACTCCAAAAGGATTGAAAAGGTATGTAGTGAAATTCTCTCCCTCCTTTTTCCAGCCCCCAGATCCCTCCCTTTAGGGAACCTTGTTACCAGTTTCATGTGTCTGCACATAATTCTGTTACCTATGTCCCTGCCCAACATGATTTCATATTACAAGTGTCAGTCATTGCCAGAAAATCAAAGGCATGTAATGAAAACTAAAGATGAAGAATGAAAAGAATAAATTAAGCTCTTTAGGAAACTCTCAACACAAAGTTTTTATTTTTCTCATTTCTCTGTGGCACTGAACGTGTTTTCACAAGCTGGTGTTGGTTATATTCATTTCTCTAATTCCAGGTAAGACAAACTTGGGTGCCCTAGAGAAACATTTTATCTACTCTGTTCTCCAGTACATATATCACCCCTTAGCTTCTTAATTACACACTGTACTATCCTTACAACAGGCTTCAAATGAAATTGCCCACCTTCAATATTGCTATTGACAGTCTAATGAGAAATTACAGATTTTTGGCCAAAGAAAACAATGCCTCATTCTGGAAGCTTATATGGGTTTCTTAATCTCACTTCCTTGAGAAAAAGAGACATAATAGATGAAAGGCAGATTTAGCAGCGTGGAAGAATTAACTAGACCTCCAGACATTTAATAGTAGCTGGTGTCAATTGTAATCTGTTCATACCAAAGTTTATTAGATTATCAAAAAGGTTTGCACTCTAGGTTTATCCACCAGTTGTACCTTGTCACCAGCCCTTTAGATTCGGGTGGTATTAGGATCTGTTATTTCTTTTAGAGATCATACTGCTATAACCTACCTTTATTTAAGAACCAACTCTAAACCAAGCACTGGGTATTGTAACTGATTGCATCTGGGTACCAGCCGCCTTGGATCACTTGGAGAACTTGGGAGTTTTGAAGACAAAATTATCAGACTCGGCACTGTACCCTAACAGAGAAAGGCAGAGATACTCATTCAGTTTCTGCTTGATTAAAAGTCAAGTGTTAACCTGGTCTTGGTTCTAAATTTGAGTCTTGTTTGTGTGCTTATTCCACACTGAACTCCTACCATAGGCCAGGAGCTGAGGATACAATGTTGAAGAAAAGAGACAAAGTTTTCAGTCTAGAAAGCAGGTCTGATAAAGAAACAAGTGTCTTGCATAGAGTACAGCCTGATGTTGCTCTGATAGAGACGGGGACTCTGGGAACAGATGGGAGTGGTACTCACCTGGGCCTGGGGTGCTGGGTAAGAATTTCTAGAAGAAGGATGTCTGAACTGAAGAATGAGTAGGAATCAAAAGGGGAAGAGTGTTCAAGGCAGGGAGAACAGCATGAAGGCTTGGAGGCAAAAGGAAAATACTCGGTTCCTTTGAGAACTGGGAGTTTAGTAAATTGGATGCTAGAGCAAGAGGTAAAGACAGATGAGGCAGACAGGTAGGCAAGGGGGGCTCTCTTACAGGGCTTTGACTTTTATTTTGAAGGCAAAGGGGAAATATTGAAGTGTTTATGCTGATGAGTGATGTGGTCATATGTGTCCTTTAGAAGATCATTCTAGTTGCATTTGAAGGGGTGAAGGAGGGGGGAAATTTGAGGGTGATTTACAGAGTTCTGACTTGGGTCACTGGGCGGGCAGTGGTGGTGGGTGGGAGTGTTTTGAGGCAGAAGTTGCCTTTCTTGGCAAAAGCAGAAGTTTGCTAGTTTTCCTCTTTACTAGAATATGAAATCAGATACCAGTCCTTCTGTTCCATTTCATGCCCAGCAGTATTCAAGACTGGTTGTAGTTTTCCACAAATGACCTGCAAGCCTAAGAGATATGATTCGATTAGTAAAGGATTGGCATTTTGGAGGAATTCAGAAACTTCCATTCTCAGGTCGCTTCCCGATGCAAGACAGAGTTGAGTCAAGCTGAGCCCTCCTAATACCACTGTCACTCTCCACGGCTTTCTCCTCTTAATTTTTAAAAATCAAAGGAATACATACACATAGTTTTAAAATGTGTATTATAGTCAGTACAACTAAA